TGTTTTTTCAAACAAACCGACGTTTCGGGCCCTTTACAGGTGAGGTGGTACAGTCTTCAACATAACTTATGTTGAAGACTGTACCACCTCAGTCAACCGTGACCATGGGACCTGTAAAGGGCCCGAAACGTCGGTTTGTTTGAAAAAACAAATATACGCGATTTAAATCCGGAAAAATAGTTTCATTCCTAAATAGTATATTATTACAGAGGCCTTGCTGAGGTTGGCGCTCGGCCTTGTATTAATACGAGTCGATTTCACGTTCCCGCCGAGACATATATAGTGCTTTTCTCAAAAATGTAAGGAAATAATAAAAGATCAAAGAGAGGAAGATGTATAATAGAAAATTAAAAAAGACATGTTAGGACAAATTGCTAAAAGAAAATGTCGTTGTTGTGTGGTATTTATTGCTGTATTTTACTAGAAGTCATTTTCGCGGTGAAAATACAAAAAAAATTAATAAACAGAAAAGAAAACCAAACCACTTTAGTTTATTTTACTCTTTTCTCTTTCTTTTTGACGTATGTGGGACAGGTAGGTATTTTTAATTCTCGCAATTACGAACACTAGTCAGTTGGCTATGTGTGTATAAATTTTCATTCGCCTGTTTACATATGTAATTCATTATTAGTAGACAGATTTCAAAGTTTAGTGCAGCGGGCAGTAATATAAGTAGTTAATTTCCATACTTACTTTGCGGGCCTTGGCCGGGACGAGGACGCGCGACCCATAAATGATAAACTTCCCGTGTTTGTTTTTTGAAAGCAGTACAAACATTTCCGAGCATGTTTGAGAAAATTCCTATATTTCTTAATATAAATTTTTTAATAAAACGTTTTTATATTTATAAAAACCCGCAACGCAAGTTTAGCAAATTTATCTCTCGGAGACACACTGCGGCCGAGACTGCAAAGTGCCCTAACCACACGATGTTAAAGCAAAGTATCGTGTGCCATTAAACTGTGAAAGGACGTCTGAACTCTTGGATCGCTTCGAACCAGTTCTGTCAATCACCTTGGTCCAGCGGTTCTCCTTGGGGTCGTACCGCTCGACGTGGTTGAGGCACTGCACGCCGTCCTGTCCGCCCACGGCGTACAGCGCGCCGTCCAGCACGGCCACGCCCACCGACGTGCGGCACGACGACGTGGGCGCCACGGCGCCGCACCACTGCGCACAGGCAGGAAGTTGCAGCATGAACGGTTAAAGAGACGCCTTAGTGTCTATAGTACCATTGATTTGTACCATCAATGGTACAAATGATACTACTATGTGTCCTTAGTACCATTGAAAATTATACTTGTTTATACCGTGTATTTACTTGTGAAAATAAAACTCACATTTTCTAACGACGCAATTTTTCTAAAAACAATGCGACTGTAATGTCGCCTTGAATTAATTGCATTTGCACGTGTTGAATGTAATTGTTGCGGTCGATCACCGCTTTTGATCTTAAGTTTTGTGGCTCTGTTGTCAAAGCATTTACGGAATGGTATGCAGCATCTGTTTTTAGAACTTTTAGAAATTGGCATGTTGTGGTAGGTTTTCTCATAAAACGCTTGTGAAATTGACCGTTCCATGCTTCGCAACAATTCGTTGTTCGATGTCTCTCGCCAAAACTGCACCACTGTGCTTTATTCGGCATCCAAAAATGTGTTATATACTTTAACAAATCATTAACTTCTTTTGTAGTACCAATAATTACACTCTCTGCAATTATATAATTCAGACCTTCTTCTATTTTGGACTCTGGCAAAAGAGGGAGAACCATGCACAAGCTCACTATTTTATTTAAGTTTTTGTTACTATTTTTTTTAAATTTATGTAGGATTTTAAGTTGCGTAGCTTTCCTTTTAATTTTATCCAGGAAATGGAAGTAGCAACCGTGATGTAACACCTGGGGAAATGCACGTTCAATGGCATTTATTGCCGCTTGTTCGAAATCTGTTATAAATTTATGGGGTTCCCATTCCCAGTTTTTTTTCGTTTGTAGACATCCGTATCTGTGACTTGATTAGTTCAAACATAATCAAATAAGTCTTCTGTTTCTTATTCGGTAGGAGTGCGTATATTACAGGAATCACATTATTTTCATTTGCGGTGCTGCCTATATCACAAAAAGTACATAAAGCTGATAGAACGGTTTCAAGCAATTCTTGAAGGTCCCGTCACATAAGAACACTTTTCCGTTAAGCACAATTTCCCTCGCTTCTTTTAGAGCAAAAATCAGGATACGATCGTTGCCATCACGGTAATCAGCAAGAAGGAAGTCATCTGGAGGCACTTCAACTTCTTTCATGTCATTGTATGCCATCTTCTCAACTCCTGCCAATTTCCTTCTTCTTCTGTATGCTTTGCATTTGTATTTGTTATACGTGGGTAATTTCTTAATCAAGTGTAGTCCTGTATCTTTCATTGATGCTATGGTAGTTCTGTAAACCGCAGGTACTGTCTCTTCGACATTTGATGCTGCTCTGTCTAAGCTTGAGCTTGTGATAATACACATAATGTTTTCATTTTCGTCTGGTAAACAGTTCTCTGAATGCTGCCTTTGTTGTACCAACTTTGACTGATCCTGGAGTAAACAGAAATTGATACTAAATTTTTGAACTTTTGTACGGCTACAATTAATTTGTATTTTTTTAATGTAAAAATTAAAAATAAAATAAAAATATACAAATACCTATCGGATGGACATGTCACACACAACGCAAACTTCAATGTACAATGGCTACTACACTAAACAATGTACACAGAAACAACCAGCCTAATTAATACAAAAATGAACTAATCAAAGAAGTGTGAAAAATCATTATAGTTACAAAATGCCAATAAGGTCGAAATTAGCTTAAACATGAATTGACCCTAAGCAAAAATAAAAAAAGCTAATTAACTTTTTTTTTTAAAACTTTACCTGGGTAATCGTAACGGATCCAGTACAGTTAAAGGTTTTGTAATTTTTACATCTCCACAAACAATTGTTGTTTTTATACCGCACGTGGAAATAATATTGGTGGCCGTTGTAGAGTAACACTTTGCCGCGTCCACGAGCGACTATTTTTATATCATTTTGGTCACTGCTCACATTTGGTTTTTCATTACTAATATCCATTTTATCCCTTAGGTTTAGAATTGAATACGTTTTTTTTAATTAAAAACACATAATCCATCCCACAATTAATACATTTACTTATAATGTCAATGTAATCATTTGTTTACGGCAAAAGACAAGATGCTTTCCAATGAGTTATTTAAAAGAAGATTGTAATCTTTGAAGTGGCCGGGATTTAATCTAGCACTTAAACGTAGCGGAAACAGCCAAGAAGGTTTTTTCCTCAATGAATTGTTGGAATTATTTATTTACTATTAAACCCCTATTATATGTATATATTTTTTGTATGATTTCGATGCAATGGTACTAGCGACACGTGCTAGTATCGGTAGTACCATTGATGGTACTAAGGACACATAGTAGTATCATTTGTACCATTGATGGTACAAATCAATGGTACTATAGACACTAAGGGAAAGACAACAAAATAAAAACACATCCATTCGCAATTGGCATTCCAAATCCAATTATTGCTATAGTACATTGCGAGGGCTTCAATAGTAAGTCAAGTTGAGCCCGAAGCCGAAGACTGGGGGCTTTCGGAGTTGAGGTTCGTAATTCAAGTATCGCCTGTGAAACATACTATGTTTTTTATAACATTTGATTGCATGCAGGCTAACTTGACTACAATGCCCCAAATAAAATTATCGGGCGTTTTTTCTTCTCATGCAGCCATGGTTGGTATAGAGAAGAAAAAAGCTCGAGGGGTTCATTTGGGGCATTATAGTCAAGGTAGACTGCCTGCAACCATAGCATTTACGTGCAAGTGTGATGGAAAAGTAATTTCAGTAATATTTATTAAGGAGATAAGGGCTTGGTAAATTCTTCTTTCTCTGCGTTCACCGCGATTTGAACGATTAAGAGAGGCCATCCACGGCACCCGAGTCGGCCCGGCGGCGCGGCCGCGGAAGCGAGAACCACCTGGTTGGTCTGAGGGTCGTAGCGCTCGATGGAGTTGAGGTAGCTCTGGCCGTCGTGGCCGCCGACGGCGTACAGCAGGTCGTGCAGCACGGCGACGCCCACGCCGCAGCGGCGCTTGGACATGGGCGCCACCATCTTCCACTCGGCCGTCTGCGGGTCGAAGCGCTCCACCGACGCGATGGCGTCGCCGCTGCACCAGCCGCCCACCGCGAACAGCACCTCGCCTGCAACAGGCCCGTCAACTGCCCGTCAACCGCCCGCCCGCCGCCCGCCGCCCCGCGCCGGGCCGCACGCACCTCGCCGCGTGGGCTTCCGGGGCCTCGTCCTCGGCCCCTGCATGAGCGGCCGCTCCTGCGGCAGCAGCAGGTAGTTCTTGGCCTCGTCCAGCAGGTCGCGGCACGCGTCGTCCGACCGGATCAGCAGCTCCGACGACACCGTGCCCACCAGGAACTTCGGGCTCAGCAGGGGCAGGCGCACGTGCTGGAGGACCTGCAAAGCGAACGGAGCAAACGTTACCAAATCGTTCCGGCTTCACCGACGCAGCTATGGCACTCGCAGTCTGACGGGCGACGCTTGGAATTGCTCGTCAATAGTACGTTTGCCAATTGAGAAAATGTAGAATGCAGAATTTCCACCATCCGAACAATTTCAAATAATGGAAAAAAATATAATTTTTTTCAAAATAGATATTTTCCCGTGACCCACCACCACGTATTGAGCCACCTTAGTTCGGCTAGTCTCTAGGACTAATCACCGTTAAGTGTCTTGCGGGGTGGGGGAAAGAGGCAAGCAATTGATCATTTGGCTATTTTGACTGGTCGAGACCATTCGCTTCCGAGTTTACAGCAGTTAAGTCAGTAAAGTCAAGTCAGTCAAGCTAATATAGAGAAATGGCGCTAATCGGGAAGTGTTAAAATGACCTGGGCGAGGTGTTGCCGACGCTCGGCGACGTTGTATTTGACCCAGGACATGACGGCCTGGAAGGTCTGCTCCTCGGAGCGCACGTTCAGCTCATCCGAGGACACGATATCGATCAGCTGCGCCGCCGGCAGCAGTAGGAATTCTTCGCTCTCCATCACCTGCGCAAACGTCATAGATAAGTATTTCCAGTTTAGACTAAATATAATTTCTCTATTGGTAATGTTAAAACGAAAAACTCCTAAAAATTCACGTCACAGAATAAGATTGTACGAAGTTAGTTTCTAAGCGTTGGTTATGACGGTGGCGAGAAACGTTACCTCCGGGAAGTTCTGCTGCGTGAACTTGTCAGCGATTCGGAGCAGTTCACGACACGAATGCGTGTCGGCGAAGGCTCGGATGCCCAGGCAGTTGGAGCAGTCTAGTTGCCGCTTTAGAAACTCGCAGCACACGTCCTGGATCTCCGCCAGCTGTAGAAGGCACGCCGCCGGCAGCAACGCCTGGAAACATCACACTACTGTCACAATATTGTATTCTAGGCAACAGGGCGGCGAATGCAGATACTTATAAGTAACCGTTCGGCGCCACTTTTCTGTCTCCAGTTAGTTCCTCGCAGTACCTGGACATTGCTCTCCTCGACGACAATATGCGCAGTGTAGCAGAAGTCGACGAGCTGTTCCATGGCCTGCTCGTCCACGTCCCGGATGGTGACCTCCGTGGCGCGCGACTCGGCCAGCTCGCCCGTGAACATCGCGCGGAAGTAGGGGCTGCACGCCGACAGGATCACTCTGGCGACAAAAGGGCCTGCTGCAGTGCCAGGAAGTAACAAGTACTCTTTGACGAAAACGACGAATCGATTATTAATATTCAAAAGTTTGTACTGTGCGCGTTACGTTTTCCTTGCCTGTGGTCAAGAAGCGTCACCCTCCCGCGTGTCGCAGACCACGACCGTTTGTTTGGCAGTCAAGGTATAGTGTGTAAGAATGCGTACCTGTGTGCGAATAGTTTCCGGTTGGCGACGTTGAGCACGACGTCGCAGAGCTCGCGATGGCGGCGCAGCGCCGACAGCTCCCCGAGGATGGCCCGCGGATGCTTCTCCGACGTGTGCGAGAGCCGCGCGCCTCCGACGCCTCCCACGCCCACGCCTCCCGGCGACCCGCCCTCCCCCATCCTAAGCAACGGCACCACAACCAGTTTCGATTACAACCTTATCCAATTGTTAACTCCTGTCATAACTAGGTGCTAGGTCGTACACTCGCCATCAGGTTATTTGCATTTATCCCATTTTGATACACCCTTATTAGGTCACAAGCCGTTTGTTGTCTCTCAACTCAAGTACTCACTCAAGCCCGACTTTCCTCTTTTTAATTTAGTTCACATTCATACTATAAAGATATGTGTTCATAACTTTTAAGATATATTTGGACAAAGGCTCGTTTAAATGTTGGTTCAACGTTGGTCTCCCAAAATGCCTTAGTTGAGTCATAAATCCTAATGCAAAGGATAAAAGTTTACAAACCTAATTTAAGTGTAAATGTTGAAGGAATATGGTACACATCAACTGTGGTATTATAAAAACCGTCTGAACTTGTAACGTTACACATAGGCGGACAACACCAATGCCCTGCGTCAGATAACCACAAAACGTACCAAATAGAAAGGAGGCTTGAAATATGTACACAATGCAATGAAACATTTACCTTTCATATTTATATATTACCATTTATATTTAAAAATGTGTTAAGTTGGTTACTTGAGATAAATAAGCATTGGTAAAACCTGTTTTATATACAAAGGCAGCATACAAATACGTAACAACTGTCTCAAAGCTAATAACAGGTTTCCTTTAGAAAAAAGGTTTTAATGCATTGTCATACGATTTTTTAACTTTCTCTGACCTCTGATAACATGATGTCAAATTATATTATCACATTATACGGTAAACACCAGTCTAGAAGTCCAAGAGGCATAAATATCACCAACCAACACACAATACTATTAAAGAAAAGTTTGAAACAACTTCTTGTCTCTTTGAATGACGAAAATGATACGCCGCTGAAATTAAATTTCACACAAAATCATTGAAATACAACATTTTTATGTGGTTCACTATTGAGTGTTCTAATTGTAGAATGAAAGAAAAGAAAATGTATTTTTTTTACCACAGCTGAAACGACTAAAGAAAAAAACAAAAACTAATTTTTAGAAAGAATAACAAAAAAGAACAAAACATAACTGCATAAATATAGAAACTGAAATGTAAGAAAAAAATAAAAATAAATGAAAATGTAAAAACTCTATAGTCATTAAAAGGCTGATGTACAAATAGCATGTTAATTACACAAAGGTCATGATGTGAGCCGTGACGAAAACAGTGCTACAAGGCCTTGAACTAGTGCACAGTTTTCAACAGTGTAGTGAAAGATTGTATGTGGTTGAATAACAAAAGAAATAGTGTTCATAATAGTATGCTCTAACAAAACTATCTACGTCTAAGATGGCCTTTTCCACAAAGATTTTTAAATAAACAACTGTTTACTACTTTTCAATTAAATGCTTATTTAATTTTACAAAAATTACTTGAATAAATTTTATATTACTACTAGTTTATAGGGACAGTAAAAAGTTTTACAAGTTTAAATGTACAATTACATTCACATCTTATTTAAATTTATTTTTCTATAATAATAATTACATTCCAGATACTTGATAATGTAAGATTCTGACAAATAAAAAAATCTGGGTTTATATTAGTTTGTATTAAGTATTAGTAACATAATAAAGACATACATGGAACGCAAGTAAAGGTGCAGTAAAAAAGAAACCAGATAATAAAAAGAATTAAATACTACAGTGGTCAGCAAATGCATCAAGGTACACATACACCTAAGAGCACAGAAATGTGGCTAGACTGGTGCCAACATGTCAATTATTCCTAGTGTACATACAATGTCACTATGTGGCAATTGTAATACAGCTGGCAAGTTAATTAATTGTAATGGAAATGATTGCTCTATAATTACACTTATTGTTAAATTTATTAGTTAATTTTATTAATATATTCTGTAACTTACATGGACTTGTAAAAAAATTCTTAAAATAGATATTTAACAATAATATTTGTGTTATTTTATCAAAACAAAAGTAAAACAGATTTATTTGTTTATGCAATAGAATGTAAGTAAATTTCTTTTTTATTTCAAAGAAGCTTCCACCATTTTCAAGTTAAAACAAATAAAGAAAGAAAACTAAGCTGATAAACACTTTATATGACACTAAAATGGTAACAACCTCAATTTGCTCCTAAGTACATCTGTAAAAGGTAGAAATAACAATATGCACAGCATCCAAAGGCAGAGGCAACATAATAACATTGCTATAGCTAGGAGAAAGTGGGGGAAGGTCAGCCAAGATACAGAAAAATGGAATGAGAGGGCTTAAACAAGGAGGCCACCAACAGCAGACCAATTAACAAGCTATACCTGAAAATCATATTGTATAATCTAAAAAGATCTAACTTTGACAAATACAGTTTTAGTAAAAAAACAACAAGGAAATAGTGTAGTAAGAATAAAGTCTAAGGGTCGTATTCCAGAACTCTACTCAATGCTCAAGTCAGGACTTGAGTATGATTTCAAGCATTGGATATATGACCCTAATGGCAAGGACTTGAGTATGATTTCTAGGGCTTTAAATCATAATCAAGTCCTGACTTAAGCATTGAGTAGAGTTCTGGAATACGACCCTAAGAATGTTACGTATCATTCGTAGAATTTGTCATGAAATCATTATTGTGTAATTAACTTCTCATTCTGTGAAATCAGTGATGTAACAAACAAATAAGATATTTTTAATGGCACTGATGGCAACTGACACATAAAATTACATTAGCAGGTTGTACCTCACCAAAGGAAATACCACCTGCATTTGACTGCAGTGTAGAACAAATAACAGGGGTTGTTAAAACCTTATCTCAGCCCATTTGTGCAATCAGCTGATCGCACCCATTGTTTTCATACAATCGCCCATGTTGATAAAACAACACACCACCTACAATAACATCACACGTTCTACAATAACACATGAATGCTCACTGCACACTAGTTACATATTATACTAAAAATCTATAAAAAAAATATAAGTTCACTCACCTCTTGGGTCCGCGCGCGTTTCCCAGCTGCAAGCGCAGCGGGGGCGAAGCCCAGCCCCACACGGAGTCAATCTGAAACCAATCAAACCTTCCGTTCACCAAGAACCCAACTAAACATCACGTACCCCTGAAAAACTGATCCTGTTTGCCAATACACGAACATTATTATGCTAATGTCAAGTCTCACCCTCACTTACCTTTGACGATTTTGATTTACCGCACCACAAAAACTGTCCTCTGTAGAGCGCAAAACACCAATTACGCCCTGAGTATGATATCTATAAAAAAAATTAACGCCACATTGATTTTCCAAAGTAAGAAATTTTTGTTTATTGTTGCAAAAGTACAGGCATCGTCCTGATTTTGTTCCCTACTATTTTTTTTACGAATGCTTTCAAAACATAATATAAATGCATGACACCATTAAAAATGTATACAGTAAATAATGAGCTGTTGCGAACAACAAAACGTTCACAAACTGCTTTAGCTATTTCAATATTTATAAAATATACCTCATCTACGCGATTCGCTATCACATAAAATAGAAAATTATTTCATGAAATTAGTATTTGTGAGAATGACAAAGTAGTAACTATCATTAGTTTCTGAATGTGTATTTAGGGCAAATGTCAAGCAGGTATGGTGTTGCTACATTTTTAATGTGAAATATATTTTATTGAAAAAAATTGTCATCTCTCTCTCTACTGACTGAGAAATCAACTCAAGACACAAGAAATTTGTAGCTGCCACATTAGAAAACGTTGCTGGACAAAATGTCTAACAGAAAAAACAAAAATAGAGTTACTTTACATCTTTACATCGAATCCTTAAGAATAGTTTGACTGACTGTAGCTGTTGCCATTAATAAAAAGTCTTTGACGTTTTTATATACGCCTGTAGGGCTTACAATTGCGAACACAAGTTTGTGCTACTACGGTTAATTATTTTGAACGGCATACGATCATATTACGCTGCAATACAGCTCATAATGGCATAGTTCTTTTGATAATAATTTATTGTTGTTGATAAATAGTCAGCTGTCAAAAACAAGAAATGCTATTGTACTGATAGCTGTATATTTTGTATAGTAAAAGTTAGCACTCGGCAGGCCGACTTGTTAAACTAAATTCAACAATGTCGCTAGCACTCTTGTTAGAAAAATACGATGTGTCAACAGAGGAAGGCCTGCAAAAGGCGCTCAGTGAAATCGAAAAAGAGGAGGTAGCATTTGATTTTATTTCACTGCCAACTCAGTTCATCGAAATTCTTGCTTTGGCTCTAAAACCAAGAGTCTCCTTTATGGCTAAGTTTACTATAAAAATATGTTCTATTGGCTTGAAGATAAATAGTTATTATTGCAGAATTTTGAGCAAAGAACAACCTAACCCAAATACAATTACTCATCGAATTATTTGTTACCTCTTATAATACTAAAATTTACAGACTGAAGTGAATGAAGCTCTAACTGGAGTGCTCTCTCGAGCGTGCTCCTTGGAAGGGCAACTGCGCACTGCAAGCCAAGCGTACACAAAGCTGAACGAAGTGAAGAGTGATGCACAGACAGCCTGTCACATGGTGGAGACGACTGCAGTACTGGCAAGGGATGTTAGCGCTAAAGTGCGGCAACTAGATCTTGCAAGGGTCAGTTCTGTTCAGAAGCATAAACACTTTATTTTAAAAGTTTCTAATTTGAACTTTACTCTAAAAGACTCTGTTTTAGTTCTAAGTGACCAGAAATTTAGAAGTGCAATTTTATAATTTATTCCCTAAGGATGTATGGAATGATTTTTAATTGCAGTCACGGGTAGCAGAATGCCAGCGGCGAGTTCACGATCTGATCGACTTGCAACTTTGCAGTGCAGGGGTGGAGGCCGCCATTAAGGCACATGATTATGAGACAGGTAATTTTAAGAACATCTCTGCATTATTATTAGGATTTTTAAATGGCAATTGCCCGTCTATTCAAACTTTAATCTAATAGTTTGTAAATTAATATTTTTAAATTATGCCGGTTTACTATAAATATAGTTTTTTTTATAGTCTTTTTAAGCTGAGTTAGAGATGTTTTTACATTACAATTTTATGTTGCATTTTAAATTTTTACATTATATTTCTTAACTCAGTTTGCATCTTGGCATAGGCCTCCAGATCTTTCCAGTGTGCTCTATCAAGAGCTGCTCTTCTCCAATACGGTCCTGCAGTTAGTTTCAGCTCATCCACTTGTCTATGATGTTGGCACCGTCTATTATGCTTTCCATTATGTAACATCACCAATTGGTGATTACATCGCTCCATTTTTCCAACCCATGCAACAGATGCCCAGTCAATCTCCATTTTGCCTAATTTATCTTTGAAAGCACATCAATTACCCTGGTTCATCTTCCAATACTGTCACTCCTGACTTTTTGAATTTTTCCTAGACTGATCAACAGCTTGTTAACCTGCCTTTAGTTTGATTTTGTGTATTTTATTTAGTGAACATGTTTCACACCCATAAGTCAGGCATGGAAGAATGCATAGGTTGAATGTCTTTCTTTTCACAGTCATGGGTAAGTTTTTTCTTTTTCTTTTTTTTTTGTTTTTAGGGTTTAGTATAGTAATCCTGAACAAAATACAACAAAAGTGATATATATTACATTTTTTTTGGGTAATTATTTATAAGTTTCTATTTACTGTAAATGAAATGTGTCAAATAATGTTTCAACTTTAAAATTCAGTGTTTCAACTTCAAAATTCAGTGTGTAAACTAAACATTAATACACAAATGGAATGCAGGCAAGCAGTTGCGTAATGGTTGTATTTGACAATACGTAAAATAGAGTTACATTGATAGCAGAACACTTTTTAATATAAGTCACCTAATTAACCCTTCCTCTAATTTAAACTGGTGTTGTCTTTCTGCACTTATCATTATTACTATTACATGATCTATATTCACAATATATTTTACAAAGTAAAATGTAAGGCTGATGTAAGTAAACGGGATTGACTAATAAAAGACGAGACTCGGATGAGAGATCCAGGTGTCGTTCAGTTTCTTCGGTCTCGGAATCGTGGGTAGCCACGTACCTACGTCAGTCACCGTCGCGCATAAACGTGTGTCGCAGCCGCGGGCCACGTGGCGCGCTTCCTGAGCATGGACCCCGGGTCGGTGGCGGCGGCGCGCGCCCGCGGGGCGCCCGACCCGCGCGAGGCCATGGCCCGCGCCGCGCGCACCCTCCGCGACCGCCTGGTCCAGAAGTGAGTGGCCTCGCAGCCCGCGGCGGGGCGCGCGGCGGCGCTGACTCGGCCCCCCGGCAGGTTCGAGGAGGCGGCGCGCAAGGAGGACGAGGCCGCGGCGGAGCGGCTGTTCAAGCTGTTCCCGCTGATCGGGCGCGCCGAGGAGGGCGTGGACCTGCTGGCGCGGCACCTGGCCGCGCAGGCGGAGGCGGCC